GAATTCCCTAAGGCCAGAATTTCTGTCACAGGGTTTTGCTATGATTTCACGGTAGATTTGCAGATTTAATTTGTGCATTGCATTTAAATACTTTGTGTTAGATAAATACGTCGTTGGTGTAAAGCTGTGTTTAAAGTAATAGTTGTGTGTCTTTGTTTTTACTTTTGGTCTTTTAGTTTCCAGCGTGTTGTCCTTTTTGGTTTTGTTTTATTGCTTTTTCTTTAATTTTGCTTACCAGAGCCAAAGCCTTAGTAGAAGAACAACGCCTTTTGTTCCTAGGGTTCAGGTAAAGACTTCGTCTGCCTGACAGAAACTAAAGTTGTGGTTTTCTTTCTTTTGTTTGTTATGGAAAATGCATAGTAGGAAAACGCTACATTATAGCTTGTTTTCCCATATTTTTAGTGTGTTGCTTTAAACCATATTAACAAGTTTCATGTCATCTTGTGAGCAGCTTGTAAAATTCTGCATGGGGGTTAAAATATTAAATCAAAATTTAAAGAGACAACTACTTTTGTTTTGCTGTTTACCCAATATTAAACTTGTATATGTTTCAATAGTGATGATGGCTCTGCATCCCACATACAAATTGTGTGCACTGTTTCAGCAATAAATAATTTCGTGCTTGAGGTCATTATATGAAGATGAATGTCTCTTTAAATCATTCATTATCATTACTTAATACATCCTTTTTTGCATTTTCCAAGTAATAGTAGCGCCTTGAGTGGAAGACAGGCAAAAAATTTGTACCTTGTCTAAAGAAACGAATTTCTTGTTTATGAAACTTGTTTCTTGCATTTTGAAGTTACATCAAAATAACCAAAACTCTATTTAAATAAAAAATAATTATCCCATTGTGTTACTGAATTTATTTAGCTTTGGTATTCTCTTTAGGTACAAGTTGTTTGCCTTTTTTCATTAGGAAACTCTGAAGGTACCATAGATTAACGCAAAAGTAGGTTTTACTAATGTGTTACAATGCTTATCTTGCTTTGCTGCATGTTTTTCAGTTTTTGTAAATAGAATATTATCTGCTTTTCTTACAAAATATGATTATGGAGATGTTAATCTTTTCTGTGGGAACTGTATAAATGTTTCTCTTATTTGATCGATTGCTCAAGGAAAGATGTAAAGGATCATTTAAATGACCAGAATAAGATGATTAAATTTCATATTGAAATTGAAAAAAGAATCATATGTATATATTTATAAAGAAATTCTAAATAAGACTTCAGGAAATGGTTTGGTTATGACTCATATTGATTAAGTACAACTTTTTCACAATATATTATTTGCTGAAAGTAGTCCTTTAGAACTGCTTAAATGTAAATTCAAAATAAAAATATGTAAAAAAAAATTTGAGATTAAAAAAGTAATGTCTTAATAATATTGTTTTAGGTTAATGCATTGTTATGTACTACTGGCATAAACTGACTTTCTATTAAAAATTTAAAACATCCTTTACCATGATTAAGAAAGGTGGCTTCTGCTTATGGTAATGAAATCACAGAAGGGTACAAATTAAATCACAATTTTTTAAATAGTTCATAAAGGTAAATATTGTATATGACATAACTAGTCTTTTAATATTTATTTTCTTTTTAGATATGTGCAAAATAAATTAAAAAATTATATGAAAATTGATTACTCAATTTAAAAAGGAAACATCTGCCTGAAATCTGCATGTTTCATTAAATGGTTCATTAAATACTGGAAGTAATGTGGAAGTAACATATAGCAGTTCCTTATTTTAATCAGATTATATAAACCACAGAAATAGACATAAAAATTATCAGTTGTACTTATACTAATATCCTCTAATGAAAAAAAAATTAAAAAATTTACTTTGAGCAAGTCATTTAAGAAAGTAAAACAAGTGTCATGCTTGGTAGAGGATATCCAGCAAGAGATGAAAGCGTATAAGGCTTATTCTCTCATCTCTGGTTGGATTATTTTGGATATTCTATAGGAGAATTTTCTTTAGCCCCAATTTTGTTGCTGCGCAATGTCTGTGGAATCATTGTGGACCTCTCTTAACAGTTTTTTGCAGAGCTCAGTAACAGTCAAAGCTAAACACAAAGTTTGTGACAAGAGTTCCTGAAGAACTCAAAATTACAACCTTGGTAACATCTTTACAACTAGATGGAAGCAAGAAGTCCCACATCTGCCTACTTTTAGTAGGGATGGTAGATAGTTTAAAATGGATTGATTTAAGATATATTTACAACTCAGGCTGCAGGGAAGAACAGAAAATCTCCAGTGATCTTCAAACAAGAAGCAGTCAAGCAGCAGTGCAGAACTCTGGTTACTTTTTGGCATGCAAAATTAGCTAATGCAGAGCTCTGAGCTGTTGTTGATGGTTATCAGGAAGTATACATTGCATTGTGGGCTGCGGTATAGCTGTCTCTGTAGAATTCCCTACAAGAATGAGGATCTCCACACATTTCCATTTATACCTATTTGTTGCATTGCTCTCAACGGGAAACACACATCTTTATTCTTGCTTGCATCTTCTTTACTTGTTTGTCTGAAACTGACCCTGGTGATACATGTCCCAGGCCATGGCACAAGTTCCTCTTCCACACTTCTTTCCATGTCATGCCATTAATTGTCTAGCTCTTGAATCACTGGGTGATTTGAAAGCTACGATTGCTATTTTCTTGGGAAGAAAATCACTCAATTTCCTTTTTGCCCTTACTATGCACCCTTCTCCTGAACTTTTACTAATTCTAAAGTACCTGGGAAAGTGCATATTTATTTCCTGAACTTTTAGATTCAGCTTAGCATACCAGCAATTTCCTAACTTACGGATTGATGCTTTGTGATATCTTTGTAGGGAATAATCTGTTCTTAAATTTATGTTTTCCATGCATTATTTCTTATTTCTTATTATTTCTTATTTCTTATTTACCTGGTGGATCCTCCTTTTGAGCCAGAGTGCCATGAAACCACTGGGGTTTTTTCCAACTTCAATAATTTCAGCACCTTTTTTTGCTTTAATACAGAACATCAATATATTTGATCATGTCTAAAAATATATGCACATGTCTATTTGGCGTTATTGAAATCAAGGTGAAGCCCCTAAAATAAAAAAAATTTAAAAGAAATCTAGATTAGGGTAGCCTAAATATCCTAGAAGCTCTTCAATTTAACAACTTTTTCTGGTATTTATTCTAGTTTATCAGACAGCAACTCAAGCAGACGGCAATAACCGTTTGGTTTAGCAACCCTCAGTAGTCAGGATTTGTTAGAGTTATGTTTATCAACAACTAAAGCCCACCTCAGCTATGCCAAAGACTTTACCGTCTCCAGGCAGTGTCTGCATCTACGTAAGCTTAAGTCTAAATAAAACAGTTGCTGTAAACATTCTTTAAAATAAACTGGGTTTTTTTTCAGCAACAGATCCTGCTGGTGCATCTCATCATTGTATTGTTTCAGAATAATGCAAGAAATAAAGAAAAGTAGTATCTCAGTTTCAAAACATTACTCTAAAAAACAGCTATGTAGGTTACATGAAAAATTATAATGAACAACACAAGAACAAAAATGCCAGACCAGTTGTCTCTCAAATCTAGTGATGTTTGAGTAGGCTGTGGTGGTAGAAATCAAGCTGCAGGGCAGACAGTCTCTCCCAGCGGCACAAGTTGTATCTCTTTTCCGTAAGATTCATGAAGCAACCCTTCTATAACACACAAAGAAGTAAAGCATAGCATAGAATTCAAAACTTCAAATATTCTCCCTTTTAAATCTAAAGTTATCACTTAAGATATGGTGCACCTGTATGTCCTGTACTCAAAAACACATTAAAATTGTATAGTTAAGCAGTCAAGCATGCATGAGATAGGAATATAGGAAGAGGCAATAATAATAATATCCAGATTTTCTTAACTGACTTCCCTTATGCATATGTATTAGACTATGGGTCCTAACTGCATGATTACTTCTTTTCTAGAGCTCTGACCTCAATCAATGCTCTGAATAAAACTTCTACTTAGGATGAGATCTAAAAGAAAAAGGATGAAATCTAGCAAATCAAATTTGTGTGCTTAATTTCTATAACTTAACTTGTGCTAATTTCAGATAAGTCTGAGGTGCCTTGGGGAGGAGCTTAGACTTGTACAGTTGAAGGAAAGAACTAAGTACCGCAATATCTGCAGTGAGAGATCCAGCCCAAATAAAAGACACCTATCCCCATCATCTCTATTTGAAACTTAGGCTACTCTGAGGCTGAGTCAATTCTCCAGAGGGCGGCATCCTCTTTGGAGGCTACAGAGGACCAAACAGGAATACTAGATACCTGCATCCGCACTTTGGATGCAACACCAGCAGTCAGCTTTTATATACTGTTCTATGTGTAGGAGACTCATTCCAGAAACAGGACGTCTGTGGTTTAAGCCTTGTTTAGACTGAAGAGATTGAACCTGTCTTTCAGAAAGGTGCCTTTATCATCAAGCTATTGCACACCCTTTTCTTCTCATCTGAAGCTGAGATACTGTGTGGCTGGGAATATAAGTGTGTGGTGATAGCAAAGAAAGCTTAATTTTAGTGTGGCGGATTCCAGACCTACTACACAGAATGTGTATGGATCTAGCATTAGAATACAGTTGGTTAAAAACGAGAAAGAAACCTCTGAACCTGGGGCCAGACCCTCATCTCTGTTTCCCCTGATGACTACCTTCATCACCTGACTTCAGAACTGTTCTTGTTTCTGGCTATCTGCATGGCAGTTATTCTTACCTGGAAGCCTGTCTCAAGGAGTGCAGCAGATGCACCGCTCTGCGGCTGACAGACTATCTCACAGTTTCAGGATGCCTTGAGTTTATACACCTGTTTGCCTGAATGTAGGTTACAACAGAAGTTTAGTCAAGAATTAGGTGCACATCTGCCTAGGGGAGGGGCCTAGGGAAGGGAAGTATACAACACTAAGTGGAAAAAGATTTGGAAAGCATTCAGGTTGGATCATTTTCTAAGTGAATTTTAGGTACTTACATCCTAAATTATCAAGGTAGGCAAAGTCCTATTCAACAGATTTTTTACAGGTGTTAACTTCCACATTAGCATCAGCCAGCATGGTTTTCCTGTGACGTATTTTATGTGTTGGAATTTTAGCCTTCCCTTTCCTTCCTTTAGATCAGGATTTCATCGTTGCAGTTTCTTAGATGTTCTAAGCTTTTAAAAGTGCCATTCCTGCATTTGTAATAAAATGCTGCATGGGGGGGTTGTAGATTCTCCTCTGTTAGTCAGCTGCTTTAGTCTTTCAGTGCTAAGCATCACACCTGTACATTCTTGTGAGACTTTCACCCTGTGGATTGAATAATTCAATGTTCTTCACATTTTGATGTTAAGAATCTTTTCTGCATGCTACTCAAGAAAGCCATAAATATAAAAATATATTTCCTCATCAGCTTTTCTGTTATACATGTGCTATCCCATGTTTATTTCACAATATAAACTATGTATAGTATTCTGTGAGGTGTTGCGGGATTGTCCTGCATCTATTCATAAAGAACTGAGAAACTATGATCAGAGTCTGAGACAACCAGGTTCTGTCCAGGCATAATACATACCTCAGACTTCAGTTACAGTGCTTTACTCAGCACTACAAATCAGGCTCCAGGGTCTTATGCCAGGCTCCCAGACAATGAAGAACATGCAATTTGTAAATACCTTTCAAAGTGTTTTGAGGGACCCACCCCTCGATACACAAGAGCTCTGGGAAGGAGGAATGGATGGAATTCATTCCTCTTGGACTGCACCTGGCTGTCTTAAATGGCTGTCGTTTCTCTCCTTGTGAATAGAAAAGACAAGGTTCTTGTGGGAAAATACCATATCATCCAAATAGTGTCATAATACTTATGCACAGGAGAGTCAGAATTAGATCAGTCTTTTTCCCAAACTCTTTCTCCATGTTCAGTATGTTAGTCTCACTCCTTGTTTCTCATTTTCCTTTCCAGTTTCCTGCCTTGACTTCTTGTGAGATTGTCTTTCATCCCAATCTCTCTGTGCAACATATTTTGCGCCAGTTATAGAATGGATGGGTCTTTTGTCACCTCACTCCATTTCTCTCATACAATCTGTTTTTGCCCCTCTTTTCTTTTATGGTCCTTGACATTAGTGGCTCCGTTCTTCCTGTGTTTCACCATGAAGCATCCTGTATCCTTTTCTTTCCCAGTAACTCTAAAGTATTTTCTGATTTGTCACTTCTTTCTTCTTCTAACCCCATGGGAATGCAATACCATCCTCCCCTCCATAGGGTTCTTTGTCCATTCTTTCACTCCCAGTTTCTTCCATTCGCTTTGCATCCAAGTCAAATGACTTCGGGGATTACAAGTGCCTGTGCTATATATTGGAGTGCTAGCAGAGTGAACACAGGAGTGAGCCTTCTGGTCATATTTCTTGCTCCCGACCTTTCCTCTAACAAGATAAATTACAAGGAATTACAAGGAAAATGTGCCCATAACGTGGAAGTTTTTCTATTTTTTTTCACAGCATTAAGAGAAAAGTAGATGTTATAAATCAATATCAAATTTATAAGTTATAAGTCAAAGTCAAATTTCGAGTTCTTGTTCCAAAACACAGAGGTTAAAGCATCTCAGACAACTAGTGTCAGATGATTTAACTTTCTGCTTATAGTCATTCTTCAAACATTTAGGCTGAAATTTTCTGGCAAAAATACAGTCTGTAACAAATACAATGAAGAAATATTTAGCCTGAATATGAATGAATAATTCTGGTTATATTTTTGACACCCTGGCCTGGATTATCTCACCTTCACTCAGTCACTGTTCATGATAGTGTCTGGATCATAAATACACTGCATTCTGCGTAAGCAAGGATAAATTTTCCCTATAAAGTGGATGAAAAAGACTGTCTTCAGTGCTACTGCCCTCGGGGTGTGGGACTAGCCAAGTCTGTCCTTTGACCAAGGAATCCCAAGGAAGACTGCGGGTGGATACATTTAGTGTCAGAGAACATTTAAGGTGACTTGCACTTCAGAGGTCGTTAAAGCTTTGCTTTGGACTCATACAGTTTGTGCAAAGCTTTCTACTTGTGATCTGTAGCTGGATGAAGATACCTATGCTCCAGATAATTCTCAGTTTGGAAAAAATAATGACAAAGCCCCTTGCTTTGCAGGAATGTAGGAACAGCATCTAGAACTCTCTTAAATCTAATGTATTAAGGATAATTTCTCTCATGCAGTTTTGTGCTTTGGTAGCCACAGAGCCCTTTAACTGTTGATGCCAGAAACCTATAAAGCCAGTAATAAGGCCAATGGCATGATAATAGAGGACACGTATCCTCTCCTTTTTAATATCCGTTCAAACACTTCTGGTTGGTGTCTAAAGGAGTTGCAAGATCTAAAGTAATGGGGAAAGAAGTAGTACACTGCCACCATTGATGGTTTTGGTGTATCTTCGTGTAACCTAAATGAAGCATTAGGAATGTCAGAAAGCTAGATCAGCCACTTGTTGGTGGGTCAAAAGTCTTGAGAATTACATCAAGACCTTTCTTTAAGTGACTGAAATACTGACGATGAGGAGCTATGACAGCAGATGGAGACCCTGTCTCTGAAATTATGTGAGATGGGCTTCGCGGAAAGTGCACGTTCCCCTGGTTCTGTTTACCCTAGCTAGGGTATATTCATGCCTAAAGGCGCACTGCTTGGTTAAGTATGGAGCTGGGTATTAACCTCTTTGATTCTCTTAGGTTCAGGCAGGGTCAGTGTTTCTTTTAAATGTCCTAATGTGTCCTCTGCTTCGGGCAAACTCCCCATGAGGAGAGCCTCCTCTGTCAGCTGTAGTTAATGATATTGCTGTGGCAACACCGTGTAGTGGCTATTTGGAAAGCTTGGTTTTGTTCTAACTACACCATTTCTCCCCTCCACAGTGAGTGGTCTAAAGTAGGTATATCCTCTCCTCGAATAAGGTATTTGCAGCTATAGCATTTAAACTGTAATAGCTAAATAGCAGCTTCTAATGACTGTAGTAAAAAATGATAGCAGACCAAGTCTAAGACTGATTAATAATAATTTCTGCAGATGAGTAATAGTAGTTTTTGCCTTGTTGTTGCTGAGTTGGACTGTGAAGAGTGTTGGACTACTGAGCCTTCCTCTCTTACAATTTCTGGAGGGCTTATGATTTCATTATGAGTCTCTGCATCTTGAAAAAACATTTAGAGATTTGAAATATTTATGGTCTTATTCCATAGTCTTACCAGCACAACAGGACATGAAAAATTCATTCATTCAATGTGCATAAACTCCTTAGAAATGTATATGAATACCATATATCAGTAATGCAGGTAATACAATACCACTGCCAAGAGAGAATAATCCTAACCAGGGTGCTATGTGAAAAACAATGAATATGAAATAATGTATATACAGGGATTTTTAAAATCAGTAACTCCTGATACATACTGAAACTATTATAGTATTAATTTATTTTTATGCTTTGTTATAAATACAAAGTAGAACACTGTCTTTTCTGTTGAAGTAACCAATATAAATAGAAGCTTGTAAGTAAAATTAATTTTAAAGATTAATATGCTACTTTGTTGTAGAAATGAGTTCACTAATTAATATTTTCTCATTACAGATAAAACTGTGGTATGACAAGGTTGGTCATCAGTTAATAGTGACAATACTGGGAGCAAAGGATCTTCCTTCAAGGGAAGATGGGAGGCCAAGGAATCCTTATGTTAAAATTTACTTTCTTCCAGACAGAAGGTAGGGTGGTCACAAAGAGAAGGAATATTTGAGTAAGAATTAGTCTGATACTCAGATGACATGCACAGCTGAGTTTACTGGTTATACATATACAGAAAAATCTTACAGTTTGGAGTTTCTATATTGAATGTGCTATGTAACAGCAATGTGTTTTGAACACTAAACACAAACTCACTTTCACTGGATATTTTATTAAATACCGAATAGAGTAAGAAAGGTAAACATACATCATTGTATGGGGATCTGTTATTTGCAAAGAATGTTGCTAGTGTTTTACAATGCCCTTGTTTCCTATGACAGTTATTCCTGTCTAGTGCAAAGAAAATGCTACGAAGTTAGGTTCACAGGTTTATGGGCTGATTGGTCCAGCAGTTTGGTTTGCCCCACCTTTACACAGCAAAGCAGGAACAGGTTTGACATCTGAAACCCGTGGATTTCATATCACAGTATAAGTGAGTTATGGTTGAAGGGGACTCAGTTGAGATTTCCCAGATGCACCTGGAAAACTTCCCCTAAAATGAAGGACTGATATTAATCTGGACTGGCATTACATATGCATTTTGAGAAAATTAAACTGTGGAAAGGACCCAGCTGTTTCTGAATAGCTCTTTCATTTTTTAGCCCATGATTTTCTGCCATTTCAGCTGAGGTGGTGGGAAGAATAGCAAAGGGGATAGTGTGTTCCCCAGCTGATTTTTCATATTAGTATTTCCTCAGATTATGTCAGTAGGGGAACATATGTAGCTTTACTTTGTAGTATATCAGCCAAATAATTCAAAGATTTGACCTGACTCAGTATATGAAAAATTGACCAGTGGATTACTGAATTTGTACATGTAACTTTACAGTTAATATTCTTGCATCCTTTGCTTTTCCTAATAGCTAAACTGGGAAGACGCTAACTATCTCCAGTACTAATTTACTTCAATAGGAATTAAAGCTATTCAGTACTTTGGAAGACACTGCTTTTCCACTTTCATCGTATACTCTATGTTGACAAGAAAATTTTCTGTGACTGCATAATATGCTGTATCATTGATGACAAAAAGTTTCTGGATGGACTGTCTTGGGCTCACAAATATTTGAACTGTTGGACTAGATTCTTAGTTTATTCAAATTGCTGTAGTGTGTTTGGAGATGCAGAAGCTGTGCTAAACAGAATCAATTCTGCTTAAATTATGTTATCTGCATTTTTAAGATTAATAAAATTATCAAAAATGTCTGCATTCAGAATGCTTCACAATGTAAGCTGTCATAACTAAAAATACATAGAAGGAAAATACTTAATTAAATACTTTCAAGTATATAGAAAAAAAATTTCCATAACTTTAGATTTTATTATGCTATACTGATGTTTCCCATTTATGTGAACTATTCAGAACTTTTTTTTTAATTATATGTCTTTTCTATTACTTATATAAGAATTAGCAATTTGTGTTATTGAATTGTTTTTCTTTATTCTGACATGCAAATTAATTTTCCTTTCCTTAGAGGTAAAAGCTAAGCAAGCAACAATATATGTCTTGTGTAGTAGAAGAATACATGCTAGAGGTAAAATGCACTTAAATAAGTCAAGCATTTAATTAGATAGAGATACTGAACTCTCTTTGATTAAACAAAATTAGGTGGAAAATCTTATTTCGGTTCTCAAGGGTAAATCTTTAGTAACCTTTTTCAGTTCTCAAGGGTAAATCTGTAGTAGAATAGAAATAATTACATTATTTGTTTTAACACTGTGTCTAAAAATATTATTTCTAAGTCAATATTTAGATCCAGCTTTTAAGTAACAGTTCAGAAATACAATAACTGTATTACAGTTGCAAGTCTTAGCGAACTGGCAGTATCTGCATTGCCATATTAAAACCCCACATAAATTAGTACCACAGCTACATTATGCAGCAATCAGCAGGTTTAAAATTAAGCACTGTTGTAAGAACTCTTGTCAGTATTCTCAGTAGAAGGAGCGTGGGTGTTTTCCATTGAAACTCGCTTCCATCAGAAAATATTAATTCTTTCTAGCAGAAATATTCGGCCAGACACATTGCTTTCAACAACACCCTGGAGCCAGAGCCAGGACTTCCATGGTAGCCTTGCATGGAGAACCCGCTGGACCCTGAAACATAAGGCCAACCTTGTAGAGGAGACGCACCTTCCACCCGGGTGGTGGTTGCTGGGGGTGACCCAAAGCATTCTGGGAGCTGTTTTGAGAACACTGTTCCTTCAAATGTTGTAGGAAAAAGATGCGTACCTTTGGTTTCCCCTCTGCGGAGCTCTTAGTCGGGAAAACCCTGTGGAGAAGGCCGCACACTGCCCTCAGCTCCCTGACCATTCCTTCGCGTGGGCCAGCTGCTCCCTCCTGCTCTGCAGTTTAAGAGCTGGCCACTCAAAGACTGGGAGCTTGAATGAACCAGATGACTCATTTGTCTGAAATGCAGATGTTTGCTATGCCCAATCTTGTCTACTTACGTATTCTACTGTCGGACTGTGCCTCATGAAATCCCATTTACAGAAATATGTTTCGCTTTACAAAATGCTGTTCCAAAACAAACATATTAAAACATTTCTGTCTTTCAGGGAACTTCTTAAAACTGGAATTGGCACATGAAGTGGAAATCACCTAAATTTAGTTTTTAGCATGAAGTTACATATTGTCCTCAATATATCAGCTGAATTTTATTTTGTCGTAAAGGACTAATTCTGACATAGATTATAGTGCCCATAAAGCTACAAAACGTACTACTGGTTTAAAATTTTCTACTCTCCATGGTATACTTATTATAGTATAATAATCTTTTGAACATTTTTAATATTTAATTGTTTTTTGCAGTGATAAAAACAAAAGAAGAACAAAAACAGTAAAGAAAACATTGGAACCTAAGTGGAATCAGACATTCATTTATTCTCCAGTTCATCGGAGAGAATTTAGAGAACGAATGTTAGAAATTACTCTTTGGGACCAAGCACGAGTTCGAGAGGAAGAAAGTGAATTTTTAGGAGAGGTATACAATTATTGGTAGCTATTATAGAAATACAGTTGCTCACATATTCATGCCTAGATACAATATTTAAAAAACATGATTGAATATGGCAAAGCAAAACTTATTTAAATTGTTGTATTTGTCCTTATTTCACTTAGTAGTAAACAAATAGTGATCTCACACTTATCACACAGTACTGATATGAGATTCTTTCTGAATTTGTTCTGTTTTAGTAACATCATGCACATGGTTTCTCAATTTCCTCTGGAATTGTTTGTTAAAATCCATATTATCTGTAGTTGTATTTTAACAATACGTTGGAATGTTGCTGACTAACTTGCTACAAGATATTTGAATGTTCTAAAGGTTCTCATAAGGTAATAAAGGTTTTGTGAAAGATTTTTGGTATATTTAATGTTGTAAAAGGCACAGGAACTCCTTTCATACTGAATGCAAGATTTTTATAGAAATTTAGACAGTCTTTAACAATGAGATAATAACAGAGTATAATTATGAACATAGCTATTTTAAAATATTCTGTTATGTAATGCTCTCCTACTTTTAACCATTTTTTCTTTTTTAGATTCTTATTGAGTTAGAAACAGCATTATTAGATGATGAACCTCACTGGTACAAACTTCAAACACATGATGTCTCTTCATTACCACTTCCCCATCCCTCACCATATTTGCCACGCAGACAACTCCATGGCGAAAGTCCCACACGGAGGCTACAAAGTAGGTTGTTAACTTTACACACAGTGTATAGTTCATTTAAATTAAAGTGTAAAGTATATTAAATTCTTGCAGATGGGAAGCTGACAGAATTTTTGTGTTCATTTGTAGGTGTTACAAATTAGGTCTTTTATGATTACTGATGAGAGTCTGATGTGCTGCTACAAATGGCAATATTGAACACTGTGCAATACACCATTTTTTTCTTATGAACCTACCTAGTTCAGATGCTGAGCTTGAGCAAATTATCTTGGTCTTTTGCAAAGTGCTGTTTTTATCTTGAAGCCCTGTCTTCTATATCATGTTTATCATTTCATTGTTTAACCAAAAGTGAATGTGCAATACCTTTCTCTTTAGCTCGTACTTCTTAAAAATAAAAAGTGACCTGTATATAACATCATATGTAGCTAAATTAATACCATAGCCTGTTGCCATGGTTTGATACTATTTTACGTGGTTATATTAAAAGTTGAATTTCTCTTAAAATTCTGTTTTGTAGAGTTTGGTATACGTGATCCACGGTAGTTTGATACTATCAGTAAATATTTTTAGTTTAGAGTGTATACAATATGCTAACAAAAATAAATACATAAGAATAAGACAGTAAAGGGTGAAAATCTGGTTCCTTAATACTTCATTGTTTCTCTAGTTTAACTGCTCAGTACTGTCAGTGATTTAAAGCTATCCTTCACTGGACTAACATTATCAAATATCAGATGACATTGACATAAGGAAACACCCAAACCCCAACAAACCCAAAATTATTTCTAAGAATTCTTTGGGGTTTTTTGAGTCATTGCATGTGAGTGTGTGTATGCATATGTTACACACAAACTCGCAGAAACATCCACTTGTAGCCACGCAAACAAGCTTGGATATGTCATATGTTCTATGTGGATTCTCTATTAAATAAACCCCTGTATGTAAGTATTTCAAGTAGCTGATGGTTTTTGTGTCTGTGTATTGGATGGTGAGAAGGATTAAAATGCTCCATATCATAATATTCTGAGATAGGTACATTAACAGAGAGTTACAGTGCACAGGCTTCAAACTGTAAGACCGCACTTCTCCACAAAAGGAGGAAAGAAATTATAGTTAACAGGTAAGGAGTCCTCTTCGCTCTTCTCAAGTAACGTGACTCTTGTTTAAGTAAAGCTTTTATGTTATTTTTCTTCTACATTTTCTACCATCTTGTAACACATTTTAGGATGTTAGATTTTCTGTGTAAAATTAGTTTTACAGACCAGCTGGACAGTTTAGTAACTATTTGTACGTAAAGTTAGTGAAATTCTGGTTTTCAGGAAGTATTCAGTCCTGCAAACAAACCCCTGTTTGTTTATACTAATTCCTGTCTGTGCAATAAATAACTGCCATGTAGAATGAATAAAACAGTAACTGCTTTATGTTGGAAAAGATAGTAGTAATACTTGACTAAAGATCTGTTCAATTATTCTGACTCAAAAGTTTGAAAGTCAATAAGCTTTTTTTAAATATTAATGTTAATACTAATACTAATGCTAATACTGTGCTCAACTGAATGATATTATATGCCTATCTGGAAATGCAGAAGGAAGGACTTATCAAGACTTTGGTTTGGTGGAACACTGAGATTTGGTGTAGAAGACCTGCTTTTCAATTAAAACGATTTAGATTTTTATGTCTGTTCCCAGAGTGGCGCTTTGACAAATTGAGATTCTAAAAACCTCAGCCAAATAAGCAGTGTCAGACATTCACTGTGATTGCTGGAGAATTCACATACTCCTACAACAAATTATGCTATTTGCATTTGTACTGAGATTGGGATCCCCTAAAGAAGGATTTTCTCTAGTGTCTTGGGAATATATGCATTTCTTGAATCCTTGTGTGTCATAAATAATTTTCAGTTTTAACAGATAGTTTTACATGTACAGCACAAGGTCCCTTGGAATTAACATTTCTCCTTGTTTGGGACTGGAAAGGCATCCAATTGTTAATTTAGCATCTAGTCAGAGTTCTGCAGCAGTAGCAGAATCCACTTAGCAACTAAAAAAATATTTTTTTTTAAATTGGTGTCACACATCTGAAATGGAAATAAAAGTATTTCTTGGTGTCCAGAGAGGTGGTGGAATATCCTGTTGGAAATATCCAGAAGTCAGCTGGACAAGGGTGTAAGCAATGTAATGTAACCTGCCCGATCCTGAAACAATCATTGCACCAGATGACCTCCAAAAAGCCCTTCCCAACCTAAATGTCATTACCAGGGGATTGGTGAAGGGCGGACAGCACATCTTATGATTGTTTGCCTTCACTTTTTAAAATATTTGTAATATATTGATAATGTATAGAAGTCTGTTTCTTTTACCTGTTTTTGGAGGTTTCAAAAATTATTAATTTAAACAAGATTTTAGTTTCTTGTGTGTGAAGTTCTTTTTATATCCTTCAATAACAACTCTTGCATATGATGAAGCAGAAGATGTTATCCAGTGGCACATTACGACAATGTGAAAAAATGTCCAGAATGAAGACAAGGCATGTCTAGCAAGCTTGTCTATCTTTTTCGAAACACATCTTAGAACACTTACTGTGCTGTTATGCAGTAGGCTAATTTCAGTTTCTGGGGCTGTAAAATCTGGACAGTTCAGTCCTCTCACCTTTTGTTCACTTCTGTGAAGCCTCTGTGTACAGAACTAGTGAGTACAATATGAAGTACTTATTGCGTGTCCCCAGACTTTAGTCTGGCAAATAACAACGGAAAGATTTTGAATTACGAGGTGGTTTGTTGTTTGTATGAAAGCACATTGACACATCTAAGCTTTCTTATCTTCATAATTGTCAAGGTGCTATAAATACATATATTTGAAGACAATACTTAAATGTTATTCTCCGAAGGTAGTTTAAAAGTACCACCTACATTTACCACTTAGTTCTATTCGCTTTTTAATATCTCTGAATGGTAGTGTTCCTGATGAAGAGCAGACTGCCAGCACTGAAGATTGAACTTCTGTATTCATAGATAGCCAGTAGCAAAGTCCAAGCTTCCCACAGTGCCCCATATGCCACATTTTTAGGAACCGGGTTTCAGAAAGAGTAGCTTAGTTTCACATATATTTACCTCTCAATACCTTTGAGCGGGCATTATGTTGTCATACAGACTGATCTAAGCCAGCTGTCCACATTCTCTTGCCCAGTCCTCTGAACCATTCAACCCATTAACTGAAGGATCATTACCATGCTTTTTCCTTAAGTATTCTTTGAAAGACAGCTACTTAGAAACTGGAACTACTACAGAACATAGAATTAACACTTAGTATGTCTTTCAGCTAATTGTATTTCACATTTTCATAAACTGACTGGCTTTTATCCAATAAGTATATTTTAAGCTTTTTCTTATGTGGTAATGACTAGGTCTATTTTACTTGCTGTGCTGAACTTTTGAAGTGAATTTTTAAAATGGCTTCATTTTTGCTAACATTTGACATAAAATCAGCCACACATTAAGAATTCCAGACAGCATTAACTAGAATTACAGACAAACTGAAGGTGTTCTTATATTGCCTCTGAAAAGAGATTGTAAACAGAAAATTGAAGATTATTTTAGAAAAGATTTGGGAATTCCTGTTGTTGGTTAGGCTACAATGTTATTGTTCTATCTCACATTAAGAGGCTTACCACAGATTACACTGAAAATTGAATCTGGTTTGAATGTTGTGTTCATAGTTAGGATCAATAGGATGTGAGTTATTGTTAGTATTACTATTCATTGAGAACCAATACAGAAACCAAGTAGGGTTTATACCATGGGGCTGCAAATCAAAAATTACTTTCTCTCCATGTAGCCCAGAATACAGAGCTGACAGACATCAAACTGGATTCGAGAAATTTCTATTCAATCTTTTACAGTTATGTCCATGTAATGTGTGAATTTGTGCAGTGTGAGCTGGTACTGTGATAAAGTGTCCTGGGTTACTGTGTATTTTGAAGAACAGCAATTATTTTTAGTTTTACATTGACTCTGAATTTGTTTTAGAAACAGGTTTCATTTTACTTCAGTTTTTTTAAGAATTTCCTGATTACTTAGGATTAAGAAGTAACTGACACTATTTTTCTAAGTCAGATTTTGCAGCTTTAAAACCAGGCTGTCTGAATTATTGATCTGCAGACTACAGAGAGTGGGTGTATAGTGTACGTAACAGCTAAATGCCAACACAAGGGAAGAAATGTGATAATAGCAGTAAAATCAGACATTTTCATGTCTCTAGTTACACCGTAGGTATGAACAGCAGTGAAAGGAGACTTTTTAATTACCATGAGAATGCACAATATGCTGTGAAAAAGAAAAGTAAAGTTTTATATTTTGAACATCCTCAATAAGGGAGAAGTAGTAAATCTATATGAGATAAACTGCTGAAAACAAGGTCTAAGAGATTTTAGAAATTACAGTGTTTGGAAATCAACATATAGAAGTACAAAATGGTGGATCACATTGTACTGTTTCAAGTACTGAACACCAGTAAAATCATTCAGGATCAAAATAATTATAAATAAATAAGACAGTGAAGTAACTTTCTTTTAAAGGGAATTTGACTTTCATTACTTTAGGAATTAAAGCAATCAATGACTCCATTTGGCTCCATTCACTGAGTTTCATGATTCTTAAGGCATATAAAAAAAAAATGGATGAAAAGAAAATACAGTAAGGAGTTTAAACTATGGGGACAAAAACTCAGTATAGTTATGTTCTACAAAAAAATCTTCATATAGTATGCAAAAAACTATATGTAACATTATTTTTGAAAATTTTATTTATTCATTCAAATGGGAATAAAAAATTCTATAATGCCCATTGCTTATGGCAAAGTGTTTTGAATCACATGATAAGTTTTTGTCATCTTCTTTTGTCAGCTTTGTACCTTTGCCAAGTCAGACTATATTTTCTGTGGCAATGCTGAGACTTTAATGTGCTAAAAATTATTACATCTGACTAGAAAAAACAAATGGGTAGACTGAATTCACAATTAAAGGAT